CTCTCACACGGCCCTGCCCTCCACCAACATCCTCCCTCATGGCCCTGCCCCCCACCAACCAGCACCTGCCTCTCACAGTCCCACCAACCACCACCTGCCTCTCACCACCCCACAGCCCCGCCCCCCCACCTCACAGCCCCGCCCCCACTGACCAGCCCCTGCCTCACCCTGCCAGCCCAGAAAATGGCTATGTGGGAGGCCAGGGAAGGAAGGGAGGGGCCTGCTGCCCATGGAGGTCCTGTCACGAAGCTCATCCCACCCCAGCACTCACCGCTCCAGCTGCAACTCTTCGTCATAGGAAGGGGGGTTGGAGCCTGGACGCGTGTTGGTTAGCGCCTCCCAGATAGTGACCTGCAATCCAGGGCACCAATCAGAACATGGGAATATTCCCCCCCCCTTGCTGAATCAGAGACCCCAAATCCCACACCCCTGAACCAGCCAGACAGCTCCCCACATCAACCGACAGGAAAGTAGGGAGCTGGCATGCCCTAGAGGGGGAAGGCCCCATGTCCCATACCCTGCCCCTCTGAGCCCACTAGTCCCTGCACCCTGGGGCCGGATTGGAGCCGGTGCCCTGAGAGGAGAAAGGCCCTGCCCAGATCTCACCTGGTCGGTCTCGGTGCCAGCGTCGAGCAAGCTCTGCTGGATGGCAAACTGCAGCAGGTCGTCATCCTCGTCCCGCATGGGCTCATTGCGGCCAGCACCCAGCATAGCGTAGCCCTGGGGCACCTCGAACACCACTGGGTCCACCTCGCAGGGGAACGGGAATACTGGGGAGAGGGGGATGGGGTGAGTGTCGGGGGGGCCATACCCCACTGGGATCACAGACACACTGCTCCACCTGTAGGAGTCTGCCCCGCCCAGAGAGACACCCACCCCCCACACACACTGCCTTGGCCCTCGACCCCATGGAGACTGGGGTCAATAGGGGTCACTGTGGGTTTGCAGTGGGATGCCTGGTGTGCCCAGCCCCCCCACCCTTGCAGGCTCCCCTACCTTTGGGGTTGGGGGGCGCCTCTGCCCCTGCAGCTGGCTCTCTGGCATCCCCTGGGGAGGAGCTGGGGGCAGGGCCGCAGACTCGCACGGAGCTCAGCGACTCATCGCACCCACACAGGTTGCTGAAGGTGATTCGTGCATTGAGCACATGGAAGAGGGGGGATCTCTGGTGTGTGTGTGTGTGTGTGTGTGTGTGTGTGTGTGTGTGAACATGAGAGCGTCAGACACTGGGAGCAACAGATGGTACAGCCCCCAGACATGCCCCTCACCCATCAGCCACCCCAGCTCAGCTCCCCACGGCCCCCAGCCACCGCCCCCCATGATCCCTGCCACACCTCCCCCGCCCCTCAGATCCCCCTCCCCAGTTCTCCCATCCTCCCTGGCCCCCAGCCTCTACTCCCCCTCATGATCCCTGCCACCCCTCCCCAGGTCCCCCAACCACCCTGGCCCAGCTCCTCACAACCCCCAGCCACCTCTCCCCATCATGATCCCAGCCACACCTCCTCTGCCTCTCAGACCCCACTCCCCAGTTCCCCCATCCTTCCTGGCCCCCAGCCTCCCTCCCCCTCATGATCCCTGCTGCCCCTCCCCTGCCCCATAACCACCCCTTCTGCCAGCTTCCCCATCCACCCCAGCCCTCAGCCACCCCAGCCTAGCTCCCCACAGCCCCCAGCCACCCCTCCCTGTCATGATCCTTGCCACTCCTTGCCCATCATCCCAGCCACACTTCTCCATGATCCTTGCCACACTTCCCGACTCCCCTGCCCCCAATCCAACTCTCCCCACTCTGGGGGACTTCTGCCAACCCTCATACTCCCACAATTGGCCCTCATTTCCCCCAACCCCGCAATTCCCACCACATCTCCAGCCACCTCTGTGCCCCTCAGACTCCCCAGATCCCAGCCATTCCTTCTCCTCCACCCGTCCCCTGCCCATCTCTATCGCACTCCAAATCCAGCCAGGCCACCCCCCTCAGATCTGCCCCACTCACCAATTTTGACGGGGAAGCCGGACGGCAGCTTGAGGGTGATGAAATCACGCAGCTTGGCGAAGTGGGCGTTGCTGATGGCCATGAGGTCGATGATGGGCGTCACCTGCTCCACCAGCGACAGGGGGTGATCCTCGCACAGCCACAGCGTGGCCTTGAACCTGTCACGCCCAGGAGAGCATCACAGCCAGCTGCCCCAGTCCCTCTTCCTGCACGGCACTGGCTATGCAAAGCAAGGGACCAGGCCTGGCGCCCGTTAGGGGCGAGCACCCTACACTGCTGTCCTGGATGCCTGGGTCCCATTCCTTGTCCTGGTCTCTCCCTCACTCTGGGGGCTGGGAGCTGCAGGAACTTCTAGGGGTGAACACACTGCCCTGCCATCCCAGACACCTGGGTGCCATTCCCTGGCAGAGGGGAGCTAGAATTAGGGTGGATTTTCCACACCATGCAGTATCACTGGCTGAAAGTGCAGAGCGACTCTTCATGCTCCTCTAGCACATTCTCCCCCTCTACTGCCATCCCAGACCCCCACCCCCACCTCACCTCTGCACCTTGTTGGACATCTCAATAGGGCGGCCAATGTTGCGGGCCTCCAGGTTGAAGCTGGGGTCAAAGTACTCCTCGGGGGTGATGGCCGTGGGGTTGGTGAGAGTGGCGGACTGCAGCACGGGGGCCTGGAGGGGGCAGGCATGGAGAAGGGGAGTCAGATCCCCCATTCACATGCTCTCTGGCTGTGCTCCTTGTTGCCAAATTCCCCCTCACTTGCTGTATTCCCCCCACCCCTCACCCTCAAACAGCCCCATCCCCAGATTCTACCATCATGGCTGGGAACTTGACGCTTCTGCCCTGACCCCCACCACACCAGGTGTGCGTCTCGAGTCCCCAGAGCAGGAGGGAGCCCATCACTCACCCCATTGTGGGAGGCATGCTGCTGGGCGATCCCCAGGAAGGACTGGAAGGGTGTCTTGGAGCCTACGGGGGGAGAGGGGAGAGTAAGTTAGACTCAAAGATCCCCTGGAGTGTATGAATCCCCACCACTACCACCACCTCCCCCCTCCCCGAGGAAACAGCTACCACGCTCATTCTGTGCCCTGGGGGAGGCTACTCTGCTAGGGCCAGTTCCCCCCATCAGGTCTGATGTGGGTGTGGATACAGAAAACTCAGCATCAGTGGGCAGCTTAAACGAGTGCTCAGGGGGCGGGGCTTAAGACATGATGGACAGGTGGAGAGGCGGGCTGTTGTCAATGGGGTTGTGACTGGAGGGGAGGGATGGGTATGGTGCTGTGACTGAAGGGCCAAGGGGTGGGGCCAGGCCCTTGTAGGCAGGTGCTGTGACTGGAATGCTGCGGCGGGTCTGTTACAAGGGGAAGTACGGGGGCACTGTGCGTGGGCATGTCAGAGGAGGAGGGTTGGGGTGCTGTGACTGAATGTCCAGAGTGGGTATATCAGAGGGGGAGGGGGCAGTCTGAACAGAGGGCTGGGGGCAGGATGGACAGTCGCAGGGGAAGGGGTGCTGTACTAGGATGTCCGGTTTTCGACTGGAAAGTCCGATTGAAGAGGGGACCTGACAGTGTCCAGTCAGATCTACTGAGCGGACGCCCAATGTCTGGTTACTTCGGATGTGGGAGGTCGGGAGGCGCTAGGTCATCACCTGCTCCAGCCCCTACTCACCCAGGTCTGCCTCCTGCCTTCATCGGGCAGAAGGGACTTGCCTGGCTCCGCCGGCAAGTCCCTTCTGGCCGGGCCGGAGGGTGGGGAGGGAAAAGCAGCAAACAACAGGGATGAAGGGCGGGGGGGAAAGGAGTGCGTGGGGGCGGGGCCTCAGGGGAAGAGGTGGGGCAGGGGAGGTTCCGACACTCCTGCAGGAGTGTCCAGTTTTTGAATATTACCAAGTTGGCAACCCTATGCTGTGCATATGTGTGGGACTGGCACTGTGATTAGGTATCCAGGGTGGGTGTGTCAGAGGGGAAGGGGTGGGCCATTGCAGACTGGATGTTCTGATTGGTTCGCTAGGGCCAGCGTGTTACCTTTGGTGCGGGACTTGTCCTGGTCCGATAGGTGCTCAGTTCTTGTTTTAGTGATGAGCTCCACATTGCTGGCACTGTAAACCTGCCACGACATGGGATGTGAATCAGCTTTCCCAGTCCCCCCTCCCCCACACACGAGCTGCACCCCCAAGGGGTGAGCACCTTGTGCTGCCATCCCGGACACCTGGGTCCCATTTGCTGTTTTGGTGTCTCTAGTACATGCGGTCGTATGAGGCCCGTAGAGGTGAGCACCTCCTCCTGCTCCTAGATGCCTGGGTCCCATTCCCCGTCCTGATCTCTCCTCCCTCGGGAAACTGTGAGGCCCCTACAGGCAAGAACTTCACAACTGCCATCCCAGAGGTCTGGGTCCCATCCTGTCCCAGTCTTCCCCTCCCAGTTAAGGTTCCCATTTCCTGCACTCCCAGGGTGGGTAACAGGGCATTACCTTGGCTTCATAGCCACTGATCACTTCCATCTTCTCCGAGCGCCAGCCCCAGATCCCAGACTTGTTCCTTCCAAGACGGGAATGGCCGGGTCAGATGCTGCGTCCCCCCATTTCCGCCCTAGACAGACCCCTCCCCTCCCCCATATGCCCCAATGCCTGGGTGCGGCTCCCCCAGGCTCCCTCCAGTCAAGAGCTGCTCAAGCCCAGCTCTGTTCCTCCCTGGAGCCTCCTTTCAGTGCCCAGCTGTGAGTAGAGCTGTTGCACAAGAGCTGCAGGCACGTAGGGTGACCAGACAGCAAGTGTGAAAAATCGGGATGGGGGGGGGTAATAGGAGCCTATATAAGAAAAAGACCCCAAAATCGGGACATCTGGTCACCCTACAGGCATGCGCACCCCCCAGCCCTAGCTCTGATCATCAACCCCAAGGGCGGGCATGGTGCTGAAGGACAAGATGCCCAAGGAAAGGCCTGGTCACCCCCCAACCCTGCTCACTAGCATGAGCGGTTGTACAAGGGCCCATCACACACATGGATCCCCCACACCGCTCACCATTTGCGACCGCACAAATGTCAGTCGTGCCCATCCCCTCTCCCCACTGTCCACTGCCTCTAGCACAAGGGCATCTCGTGCACAGCAACCTCACCCTGCCACTTGTACACTCCTCGCATGCGCCTCCTTCCCTGCCCTCCCTCCCCAGTCATGTATTCTCCTGCCTCCCTCATGGCTGTCCTCGTGCACCCTGCCTCCCACACCCGCTCCCCTCTCAGAGGCCTGCCCCCATGTGGTCAGCCTGCATGAATGCCCCCCATGAGTGCCCCCCCCCCAACAGCTCACCGCTCGAAGGCGATGTTCTTGGTGTCGAGGTGAGTGGAGACAACGGGCGAGGTCAGCCGGCTGGCCACGTGCTCCTCGGTGGGCTGCATGGCAGCCAGCATCAGCTCCGGCTCGTGCAGGGCAAGCGACAGCGTCTCCGTGTAGACCACCTGCTTGTCGTGATCCACCTCCATCACCACGGCACCCTCCTCTGGCCAGGGGGAGAGGGGACATATCAGTGCCACAGCCCCACCCCACCCGTGGCCAGGCTGGAGGTGCCGTGGTGATGTCACCTCAGCCTCCCTCCAGGATCCCCTGAGACTCTAGGTGCAGGCGGACTGCTGCCCTGGCCCTTTCCAGCAGCCAGATCCCAATGGAGCGCCAACTCCCATTGGCAGTGACCCCATTCCCCTCCCGAGGGCTGGGCCAGCTGGGGTCTCAGCCCCATCTCTCAGAGCCCCTCATGTCAGGGAGTGGAAAGGGGCCCAGCTCTACTACTCAGCCAGATAGGGAAGGTGCATCCTGCACAGGGCATCGAGGGGAAATAGAGCCCAATTCCCCTAGGGGTATAGGGCAGAAGCAAATTCCCACGGGAGAACAGGGGAGGAACACCATGGTGGGAGGAGACCCCAATTCCCCCGGGGGCACAGGAACGGGGTGCGGCCCGGAGAGGCTGGGGGCATCTCTGACCTTCCCCCTTGAAGATATAGCTGCGCCGCCCACGCTGCCAGGTCATGTGCTCGAAGCCCAGCAGGGTGGTGTCGACCCGCAGGCTCTCGCCGCGCTTCCACACCCGGTACACATCACTCGGGCACACCTTGGAGACCAGGGGCACTGTGGGGGAGGGACAGAGAGTGAGCGGGGGAGGGCATGGCAGTGTGGGCGTCTGCTCCACCTGCATGCTGACAGCCCAGCCCTGCACCCCGCTGGGGAGGGTGTGTCCAGATGTCTGCAGTTCCTCCTCCCGGCCACCAGGGGCTCCATTATGGTGCTGGGCTTAACACCGCCAGGCAGTGCTCCCATTCCCCCCGAACCCCCACCCCAGGGCCCAACTCCGAGAAAGGGAGGCACCAACTGCTGGCAGGGTAGGGGCGGGGTGGAGACAACGACCATGTGGCTCTAGTCTCTCCCCTCCATGTAGCCGCATATCCCTGGTCTCTGACACTGGGAATGGAGATTGGGAGTATCCTCCTGCAAACCCCCCTTCGGGAGCCCCCAGGGACGGACTCACCCCAGCTGGTGAATTCCCACTTCATCTCCACGTAGAAATCAGGGGCCTGGAAGAGAGGAGACAACAAAGCAATGAGATCAGGCATTCCCGGCAGAGATCGGGGTGGGGGAGATCAGGGTCTGCGGGGCGGGGGGAATCCCTGCAGAGATTGGGGTCTGGGAGATCATGGGGGATTCCCTGGAAGGATGGGGGTGGGGGAAAGATCAGAAGGGTGGGTGGGATTCCTTGCAGTGATCAGATCTGGGAGGGGCAGGGGAAGAGAGATCCGGACCTGAGGAGGAGGGGAGATACCTGTAATGATTGGAGGTGGGGGGTAAGAACAGGAACCCGGGGGAAGTGAGAGATCCTGGGGGACAAATCTCAAGCTGGGAATCCCCAGGGCTGGGTGAGATCCTAGGTGTGCTCATGTCCTAGATCCTGGGGGATCCCAGATGCATCCACAATGGATCCCCAGAGTGGCAGCAGGCGGATCCATCGCACTGCGGGCGCCCAGGGCTTAGCTCTCAGGGGGCACCTAGGGACCAGCAGGGTGGAGGTGCCAGAGGGCTGGGGTCCCGAGTGGTGGTGGTGGTGGGTGGGGGGGGGGGAG